CAAGCTGTTTCAGAACTCGCTGTTGCATATAGCAGCTGATGTGACTTGCCTGTGAGCAACTTGGAAAGGCTCTCTCTCTCGCTATATTTATATATAGAGAGAGAGAGAGAGAGAGAGAGAGAGAGAGAGAGAGAGAGAGAGAGAGACAGACAGAGAGAGAATACATAAAGATGCATTGAATACATAAATAAGGAGGGGAGACCACAATCTAGGCTACTGGAGACTCCCCAGAAAACACCAAAGTACTCCCAAAGAAGCCTGGAAGAGAAGCCGAGATACAAGAACCAAGGACACAGCCCACTCTTTCAGAGAGAAGATACACATTATTTGGTTTTCTATAAACCAGTTCAAGGGTTAGGGTTCCAGAGGCATTTAATTAAATAAATGAAGAAGTATCCTGTGTGTGTTGGGGGGGGGGTGGTTAGGGGAGGGCTTTGTGTTTGCTTGTTTCCATTTTTGGCTTAACTCCATTTACTTGACCTTAATGGATTAGCCGACCTTATTACTACCTTGGTCTGTGAGCTATGAAATTGGTTATATACAATTGTGTTTGCAATATTGAAAGTTTCAAGGAGATAATATAAAACATTCTTGATCCTTGAATTAAACAGTGAATTATGGTGTACTGGTTTCTTCAAAGGAATGCCAAGCATGATATAAATAGTGCATTAGTTTTTGTAAAATTCCTTTGAAGTATATTGCCAGTATTGCTGCTGTTACACAGATGGCAGGGCACCAGGAACGTCTTAATGCCTCAATCAGATGATAGAACTGGACTCCTAGGTCAGTCTCCTTCTGGAGAATTTCTATCTCTTTATGCAAAGATGATGCTGGGTAATTATAAAAACCACTTTAGGATTTATGTGCTACTGACTGATTTGTGGAATTCGTCTTTATGTGATTTGGGAAGGACTATCTAGATTCTTGAAAATTATTCTTGAATTACGAAGTTTGGGCTCAATTCCTTCATATAGCAGTGTTGAATTAGAGTGGTTTGGACCTAAAATTTAAAATGTCCCAGAAGCCAGAAAAGCCTCCATCCCTCCTGCTTAGACCCTTCTCAAGCCAGGAGCTTTTCTGGCAAAGGAGATAGGACCTCACAAGGCACCCCGCCTGCACCCTGAGCTGGACTGGGGGTGGGGTGGGGGGCAGTTGGTTGCAGCTGCTTCAGTGGGTGGTGAAACCATCCCTCCTGGAAGAGAAACTGAGGAGGAACTCTTGGCTCTCCCTGCGTGAGAAGTCTTCCTGGTTCTCCCAAAGTATGTTTTTAAGTAAAGTAGCATTTTATGATTCCCATCCAGTTGATGGAGACTACGAGCCTCCCCAACCCCCCCACCCCACGCAGGGCACAGTGCACGGGTTCCCCCTGGGGTTCCACAGCTGTAACTGATGACAGATCACCTCCCACATCTGTCTCCATGAAGCAGCTGTTGCATTTGAACTGCTGGCCTTTAGGTTCACAGCTGAGCATTTCATCACTACCACCAGGGCCCCGGAGGAAACCAAATGCATTGAACTTGTTATCAAAATATTAATTTTTGATACAACAGTATTTTTATATTAATAGCATTCTAATACAATCTTGGATAATTCTGAATACAAAAGATATTGTGAGGAATCTACATAATGGTAATATTGACTTTTTTTCTTTACCTTAACATAACATAGAACACAATTAGCAAGTGGATGCTCGAGTTACATTCCCTTCTATGAACCACCGTGAACAAAGGGCCAAAGAGACCGGCAGATGGCTCCTTGGGGTATCTTGGGGTCCTGCAAAATCATAAGAGCACTTGACATTTTTCTATTTTTCACCAACCCTAAAACTAGAAATACCCCTTAAACAGTGCTCTTTATGTAGTAAAGCATGAAGTAGAACATAAACTCTAGAAAAAAGTTCATCTGGGACTGGAAAGGAGATTTTATTCCTCAGATGTGCGTACTTCCTAGTTTTTCTGGGAAGAAATGAATGCCTTCAACTAATGAATCTCCTCTGAGTCAGAAGATAAATGGGAAGATAAAGAGCACATAAAGTGCCCCCCCTTTAAAAAAATAAAACAAGCCTGACTTGACTTTTGCACAGGATTCAGAAGAGGAGAGATGGGGTTGTGTGTGTGTGTGTGTGTGTGTGTGTGTGTGTGTGTGTGTGTGTGTGTGTAATGAGACTGCTGGTGTTAGGTAGTCACACAGGTTTTTTTCTTCCCAGATCTATTTAAATCTTGGTGCAACTGAGATTAAACTCAAAATATGCCAAGATGAAATACTCGGAGCTGAACTGTTTTTATTTCAGTTAGAGCATTGTTACAGTCCTTAAACAATCTTCTAAAATAAAATTTCTTCCATCACCACCACCAGGCCCACAAGAAGACATTTCCAGAAAAAGATTCAACTCCTGAGATTTTGAAAGAGTTATATTTTCACTGGTATAAATGACTATTTTCGTTACCCATAGGACCCCGATGATCACAATGTTTACATGTTCCCAGCGTAATTGCTGGGAGGGGCGGAGTGGAGGGAGGTGGTCAAAACATGCAAACCTGAGAACCCCGGAGAGTCAGGCTTAATGATAGCTATCTGTGTGAGGAGGGGAAAGAATATCTCAGCCCTGCAGGAAGACAGCAAATCCCACTTAGCCAGCTGATCGACAACAGTCACACGCCTAACATTTTCTCTTTTTCTCCCTTCGCTCTTATAAGGTAAATTTGAAGAAAAAGAAGACAGTGTGCCTAAACTGGAGCAGCTCAACAGCTTGGGCTGTATGACTAACATGAACCTAGTGTTAACAAAACAAAATTTGCTACATATGGAACTATTGCTATTGGAGACCTTTCAGTGGAACCTCTGCCTCCCAACAGCTGCCCATTTCATTGAGTATTATCTGTCTGAAGCAGTACATGAAACAGACCTGCATGATGGCTGGCCGATGATTTGCTTGGAAAAAACGAAACTCTACATGGCTAAATATGCGGACTACTTCCTGGAGGTGTCCTTGCAAGGTGAGCTGCAGGCGCTGAGAGTGACTGCTGAACCCTGACTTCTCGTGACTCCCTTATTCTGTTGCTGAAGTTCACTTTTGGTGTCTCCACAGATTATGCCTTTCTAAATTATGCACCTTCTTTAGTAGCTGCTGCATGTGTGGCTTCTTCAAGGATTATTCTCCGTCTTTCTCCCGCGTGGCCTACAAGACTGCATCGTCTCACTGCTTACTCCTGGGACTTCCTGATGCAGTGCATTGAACGGCTGTTGATGTAAGCCTGTGCGCCCTTGGAGTCCCCTTGGTCATTTCTCACTATTTCTCTTTAGACAGACATGTTCCTACAAACAACTTCTCACAGGTCTAGAACTTTCAGGGTACTTGCTCAGACAGACACTTGATACTTTGAGTAAGCTTTTGTATAAGCCTCAGCAGGGAGCCCCTCTTGGCTGTTACCTGGCTACAGGTGGTCATTGCTAGGATGATTCTGGTTCGTGATAGAGCAGGCAGCTGCTCTTGCGTGTCTGTAACCCTATAACTAGGGTCAGTACAAGCAAATTGTGCACATCCCATACGTCCCTGTCTTTGAACTTGGAGCCCCCGGGATATCACCAGAGTGGCAGCCTCACTTACATGCTTCTTGGGGCTGCATCTCCTGAGCTGAAAATAGCCTCAAGCTACCAGCCAGTTCTCCAGGTTTGTACCCAGGGAAGGCCCCTGAGAAGGACAAGACTGTAAGCTCACAGTTACTGAGATTCTGGCCAGTGGCTGGTAAGTAGACAGTGTGGCACAGTCAGCGGCTGAGGGAGGTGGGAATAGGGCAGGACTTCCTTGCAGATTGTTCTCAGGTAACATTAACAGGTGTCTTCCTTTCTGTCTTGGCAGCGCTCATGATAATGATGTGAAGGAGGCAAACAAGCAGAGAGGGCAAGCAGGATCTCAATCAGCACAATTAAGTATGTTCCAGACAACCTCCCAGTCCTCCAGGCCAATTCACTTCCAGCAACCCCACTATCTCCATCAGACGCCCCTGCAGTATCGCCATCCAGTGTCAGAACCACCAAGCTGTCAGCAGGTTGTGTCCACCACACACACCTCATCTTACACATTACAGACCTGCCCTGCGGGCTTCCAAACTAGTGTTCAGGGCCTTGGGCACGTGCAGACTGGTGTGGGCATGTCACTAGCAATCCCAGTAGAAGTGAAGCCCTGCCTGAGTGTTTCCTATAACCGGAGTTACCAGATAAATGAACATTATCCTTGCATTACTCCATGCTTTGAAAGGTGATTGTGTGTGAAGGTAATACCTACCCAGACAGTTGTGTGACTTGAAGTTTTTAAGAACTCTCCAAAAGGAAAGGGAGTTAAATGGCATCGGAACACTTCAGATACCAACTCCAGGAAGACGGAATATCCTTCAGTGAACCCTGAACCCCTGAGAAGACTGAGCAAACTCTGCAAGCCCTCGACTACCGTGTACATCAGATCTTGTTACAACGCATGCCTGCAGGACCAAGACTTTCAAGTCTTGGCTGATGGTCCAAATATTTCAAAACTAATACAGCAAAAAATTTGGACCTTCCCCTCTTCACCATATTGAGCTTTGACTTGTGTGGGCCCGGCCAAATGTTGGCCTAAATGTCAGAGACTAATATTTATCTGTGGACTTGCCAAACAGTCTTTTATGAAGGAAAGTTACAGTATTAATTTTTTAAGAAATCCCTTATTCCCCCTACAGTTTTGAATTATATTTTTGATTTATGAATTTTTGACCAAGTTTAAAATTGTGATTGTTATTCTATACCAATCTGTGCAGTAAAAAATAAGAAAAAAAATTAAGGTGATTCTATGTAACTCGCTATCACCAACAGCATTGGTATCTGGATTTATATATCAAAGTTAAGAGTTAAGTAGATGTCTTAACTTAAAATCACGGTCATAATTTTTTTGCTTTTTTCCCTAAATGATCAACCTCAAATCTTCACAATAAAACACGTTTAACTCAGGGAATGTATGCTACTTAGAAACACTTAATTCTAATGGAACATGCTTTGGGAATGTTAACAGTACGAGCTACCTTTCCAAAGTAGGCTACAATACTCATGATAGGATGTGTTTTCAATTGGGAACATACATTGTAGCTTCAAATGAATGAAGTAGTTCCTAAAGTGCATATGTGGGCTTTGCATTTCCTTGTGCAAGCAATAATCTTAGATTTGATATCACCCTATTAAAGATGCTTTTTCAAGAGAAGACAAATTGTCACTACTAGAATAAGGTTCTGTAGGTTTATTTTGGAGCGGAGCGTGGCCAGGATAGTTCTCAGGTTGTGCTAAAGTAGCACTTGGTTCTGTTACGTGGAAGACATTTCCTGAACAACCTTTGAATCCAGCTTGTCAGTCTGAACAGGCAATAAATACCAATTAGTCCATTTCAATAGCTACTTTTGTTGGATTGGCCCAAGACTGTTCTGGAATGTTGACAATTTGCTAGTAAGTGAAACAGCCGTTACAACAGGGCAATTTGGGAGTAAAGAGTTTTGGGAAATCTAAAAGTATAAAAAAATCATCGTACTAACTGGCAAACTATACATTGTATTTTTATAAAAAAAGGTTTGGTGGGGAAGCTTTCCGGTTTAGAAAGTAGTGAGGTGTCTGTGTTTTTGAAGATGGCACTTGAATCGAAGGAGCCTGCGTGGCAGAGCCGTCATTGCCACACTGCATGGGAGCAGCACAGGTGGTGCAGGGAGGCAGCAGTCTCCGCATCCAGCCATGGCTTGTCAGGAAGAGCAGGGGGAGGCTCATCACAGACACAGACTGCTCAGGTGGCTCCAGTAGCTCCATGTGGGTGAGTGGCTTTGCCAGTTGAATTCTTAATTTTGTCCTTAAAATGAAGATGGTTTTAATATTTAGAGCACATAGGGCAAGATGTGGATTTACTGGTCTGGTAGAGGAAACAAACAAAAAATAACCACTCAGGTAAAAGAAACACTCGTGGCAATTTTCGAGCTTGAACATTGTGTTTCGAAAGTAACACTTTCCCTCTTTCAGAAAGAAGGCTGCTAATTGGACATTGGTAGTTTTTACCTTCAGACAACTTGCATTATTTGAGGGGAAGGAGGGTCAAAAGAAAATCTGTCATTTGTATTCAGAGCCTAGCAATCTGGAGTCTAATTTTCAGTATTTTAACTACCTCAATATTTTGAATGTAAGCTATTGGGATAGAGATATCCCAATTTGAAACAACAGCCGGTGCCTATGGTAATATAACGTCTTGTTAAATGCTTTTATTGATTGGTTTAAATGTCATTCTTGTTAAAGAATATGCCTTTTTGAAAAAAGCTTATTAACACTTTCCCCATTTGTATTTAAAGACACTAAAGAACACTGGATTGGTTGGGGGGAGGGGGTTTGAATAAAACAACCTGTTATTATTGCTGCATACCCCAGCTGGGGTAGGGTGGGATGGTTCGAGAACCAGAACTACTTTTAAAACATGAGGTTTCAATATAAATACAACTCACAACTATTAGCATTTGGGGAGGGGGGGTGGGATTGAGTGGGTTTTCTTTAATTTATTACTTAGTCTTTTAAGGTAGGCTTGGTTTTTGGTTGGTTTTTTGTTGTTGGTTTTGAGAATACTGGACCATCATTAAATGTATACTGTGAACAGTTATGTATACAGGGCTTCACCAAAGTCCACTAAATAAACACTACTCAAGTACAGACAGCGAACCAAAATCTGTGTCCCTACATTCATTGCACATGGCAAACATGGTGCTAAAGTCTATGCCGGTGGGATTAGATGAGTGCTATTCACTGAATTTTAAAATAAAGCTAGTTTTCAATAAAATGGTTTTGATGTTTTGTTTTCAAGATAAACTTGATATACTTGAATTTCACTGAACCATGTCATCATAAAAGTCAAACTAGAAGTTGTATATTTACCAAATACCACTCAGATGTAGAATGGAACCATAATGTTGGGAATATTCATTATGCATGCTATACGAGGCATCCACCGTCACAAAAGTGTATTGGACGCAGCTGTTGCCTTCTGAGCTTAAGATCAGCAACTGCAAATTTCACTTTCTTTAAACAATAAGGCAAGCTGCCAAAAGTTTGACGGCTGTTCTCAAAATTGGACAAAGGGTCAAGGATCTGAAAGGCAACAAGATCAGCAGTCTGTTCACTTAAAGATAAATGTCATTCGCTACTTTACTCATCTTAGGACTTGGCCGAGGTTGTCATAAAGGGTAAAACTTAACAGGTTTGCACAAGTGGGTGATGCATCCCTTGAAAAGCATTTCGAGAATTAGCCCTGAATAATGCCATTTGCACAGTGACAGTCTCAGGGTTTAGCGACAGCTCCTAAAGCCAAATGTAATGTTCTTTAAAGACGATTTTAAAGAAATGGTCCCACTCTAGGCTAGATAGCTTTGTGAGGATTTTGAGAGTCACGTGACAAGTTTGTACTAAACAGCTGTGCTTCTCCAGCACAGTGAAAGGAATACCTCTGCCTCAAACAGCTGACATCTAACATGATAAACAACTGGAACGCTTGAAGCAATTAGAATGATGGAGCGTTTGGAACTTAATATTGTTTAGTGAGCATTCTGCAGGTCTGTTAAAAAAAATCCTCTCCATTTTAAAAAGGAACCAATACAGTCTTTCTAGTAGCATCAAGACCAGGCTTGCTTCCTATAGGTAGGAAGGCTTGCTCCTCCCCTACCCCTGCATGCGTGTGTGCTCCCTAAACACCCTCTGCTATTCCCATCCCAAACTGCAGGCATCTTTAACCTGGAATCCTGGTACCCGTAACATGGTTTATCATTGACGTGTAAATGTTTTCCTATGTTGAGAAGTTTTTCTCAAAGGGTTTGTGACTTACAGTACTCAGGTCTATTCTCCTATATTGTCTGTTTATTTACTCGTCTTCTCCTATGAGATAGAATTGAGCATTTTAAAAAAATAGACTGTTTCATGAAGATACCTGTGTGGCCACAAGCTGGTAATGAGTCTAGAAATCCTCATGAGAGGCCGTGGAAGGAACTGGTGAACTTTTCACGGAGTAGACTAAGGGGAGGTGAGCTGCCTGTCTTCTCGGATGTCAAGGTCATGTTACCCCAAAAAAGTTTCAGTGAGCACTAAGCCAGCAGATTGCTAACGGCACAGCACTGCTCTCAGAGCGCCTCCTCAGCAGAGACCGACTGTCCCCACCGAACGAGCATATAAAAAACATCAGAAGAAAAGCACACAAAATATTAGGGAATTTTTTTAAAAAGCACATATAGGAAGGACCACAAAGTAATATGCAGGACAAAAAACAAATTAATGAACTTAAATGGGCTGAACGCCATTACTGATGGAAAAAATTTCCCACTGAGTCATAAAGCCAAACAAATCTGAGGTACACACAACTTGTACCTAAGATAAAAGGCTTCAGGTATGTTGCAAGCAGAAGGATGAGTATACCAAACGAAAAAACAAAAACACATCACTGAGCAGTTCTGACTCAGCGGCCATTTGAGAGGTCTATCTGACCTGATTCTCTGTGTTGTGAGCTCTTATCTGTACCTGTGTACATGCTCGGCCTCACCTGCAGTGAAAGGAAAGACTGGGGTCATGATAGTGGGGGACGAGGAAGCCTCCAGGAACCAGAGGTATATTGTGTGTCTCATCGGTACTGTACTTCAACCTGGTTAACTCGTCCCTTCCTTACGACTCCTGTGAGGGGGTGTCCCATTTTCCACCGGTGGGTTTTGGGTCTCTGCTACAACCCCCCTCATTCTCAACAATATGTTATTTGTTTGTTTGTTTGGAGTCTTCTGATGCCTGTTACCTGATCCTGTCGACACCTCATGATCGCTCAGGCTGGTGTGCTTCTTCTGTGTGGGCTTGTTGCTTCTCTGCTGGATGGTTGCTTGTTTAACTTCAAGCCTTTATGTCAGCAGTTTTCAAGCTGTGGGTCATGACCCCTTTGGGGGTCGAATGACCTTTCACAGGAGTCGCCTAAGACCATATTTCTGATGGTCTTAGGAACGGAGACACTGCTCCTCTTATTAGTCTCCAGGTGGGCCCACCCCATGCAGATATGCCCACATACGGGGTCACCACAACATGAGGAACTATATTAAAGAGTTGTGGCATTAGCAAGGTTGAGAGCCACTGCTTTATATGTTTGTTATATAATCTGTTGTCAAATTGAGACTTACGAGTGAAGGGGTGGAGGTTAGCCTGTCAATCAGATCACAGCTTGATGACCTCATTTGGAGGCTCCAAGGAGATAAACAGCTCGCTGGAGGCAGGATGCAGGCTGAATCCCTGGGAGACATTGCAGCTGACCAGACACATAGGGCTACATTAGTGGCCCTGAGCTGCAGGAGCCTGGTGGAGAACCGTGCCGGCACTGAGATGCTCACAATGCCACTGAATCCACAAGACTTTGTAACCACTGGCCTATGATCTTTCTGCATTCATTATCATTGCATGTGCTTCATGAGTTTGAGGAGGAATTTATAGATTGGTATCAGAAGTATGGGCTAATATCGGACTTGTAGGCTTGATCTGGACAGGGCTGGGATATTTTCTTAATGTGCAATTACTCTTTATATAAAGCTATGTCTTATTCACATGATTCTCCCTGGATTTGTTTTTCTAGTCAACCCGGACTAACACACTTTAAGACCCCAGACACTGTATCTTTTGATAGCCAGGCACCATCAGCTTTCTTCACCACATTTGCTGTGCACCCATTTTGTCTTCAGCGATTGTGCCGGCCTCTCTCCCCAACCTGCATATTTAGTACTGTCCTCTGAGCAGAGCCCACCACAGCACACCCAACCTTGAGGGCAATGTGACCACATGGAGCAACACATGAGCAGGGCCCAACTGACTCCCTCCCTAGAACTAAAGCTATAAATATTTACAGAAGCAGACTAGCACATCTTTCTCCTATGGCTCGGCTAGTGAGTTCAAACCACCAACATTTTAATTAGCAGCTGAGCATTTTAACTACTGTGCCATCAGAAGTCCTGGCAATTCCTTTAAACAAACAAACACTGCCATTGAGCCAACGCTGACTCATAGGGAATCTATAAGGCAGGGCGAAATTGCTTCTGTGAATTTTCAAGACTGCAACTCTGTACTTGTTGCTTGGTGCTGTTGAGTTGGTTCCAACTCATAGCAATCCTATGTGTAATGGAACGAAATATTGCCCTGTCTGGCTCCCACCTCATAACTGGCCTATAGTTGAGCCCATCGATGAAGCCACTGTATCAATACATCTTGTCAAAAGTCTTCCTCAGGAAGGTGGGGGGTGGGAAAGGGGGAACCGATCACAATGATCTACATATAACCCCCTCCCAGGGGAGCAGGAGAGGGAGGGGTAATAAATGAGCTGATACCAAGGGCTCAAGTAGAAGAAAATGTTTTGAAAATCATGGCAACAAATGTACAAATGTGCTTGACATAATAGATGTATTTATGGATTATGTTAAGAGTTGTACAAGCCCCCAATAAAATGATTAACAACAACAAAGAAAGTCTTTCTCAGGACAGAGACCCAAAGCCCATCTGTTTACAATGGGTCACCCCCTCACAGAGGGGTCACAGGGAAGGGATGAGTCAATCGGGCAATAAAGCACTGATGAAACACACAATACTACTCTGGTTCCTTGAGGCTTCTTCACCCCCCACTACCATGATTCCAGTACTGCCTTTCACTGC